TGTCTATTACACCTAAAAGAAAAATCTCTTATTTTCATACCCACTTTGAGAATCTTCTGCATTAAAATATAAATCTTACTTCAGTATTTCTTTGCTTTGTCATAAGTCCAACAGAGTTGGTAAAAAGTTCCTTTTTTATATTTACATTTCAAACATGTATTTGAAATTCGTTTATACTTCTTTGGCAGTTTATCGGGTATTAAGTAGAAGGATACATCGTTTTATAAAAAACGTCTTTTAAATTATAATTTAATACAATTTTAAACTCTTAAACCATATGTCTTCCCCTTGTTCAGGCATTATATTATACACAAAAATCTTTGCCATTGGATCAATGTATTCAAATTTTGATGCCTTCTTAGCAGAGTTTCGTGGCATTCATACTATGTGGAGAAGCTTCAATAATCTTTGTACAGTTCCCTTATCCATTCTAGAAGAAAGATTTTGCACAGCCATTTCTTTCTTACTTCCCATCCTAATTGATCGGCACTGGGTGTTTTTCAGTGATGTTCACAGGAAAAGAAACTACTTCATGATGTGTGTGATGTCCATTAATTCTTTTTTCCTATTTCAAGTCTTTTGCAATGGAGATCAGGGATCCTGAGAGAAAGAGGCATCCGTCAAATCTCTCGCAAGAACTGTTTTTCAGTGGGATCTCTCAGGAAGATCCAAATCAGGACACCTCAGGAGGTAATATAAGATCCTTCCACTCCTCTGATAAATCCCAACTTTCTCACCTTCTCTATGTCTTCTCTTCTATAGCATACCTCCTCCCATTTTATTTATTACGCTTTTTGAAATTCTGTCTCCCTCACAGGGAAGAATAGAAGGAATTTGACTCTTGAGGGAGCGGAAACTAAGACTGAACCTCCAACTCAGGTAAGAAAAGAACATTCATTTACAAGATTTGTATTTTCCCTTTCCGTCAGGAAATCAGCTGATATACATATTATAGGTATGCTTGACCTATGACCACAGTTGAGCCAAAAAAAATTTGTTGCTAAGTGAAACATTTGTTAAGTGAACTTTGTCCCATTTTACCATCTTTCCTGCCACAGAAGTTAAGTAAATCACTGCAGTTGTTAAGTTATATTAAGTAATATGGTTGTTAAGTGAATCTGGCTTCCCTAATGATTTTGCTTGTAAGAGGTGATCATGACCCCAGGACCCTGCAATCATCATAAATATGAGTCAGTTGCCAAACATCCAAATTTCAATCATGTGGCTATGGGGATGCTGCAACAGTAGTTAATGTGAAAAACAGGCATACATCATTTTTTCGGTGGCATTGTAACTTTGAAGAGTCACTAAAAACTGTTGTAAGTCGATGACTACCTGTACTGTCTTCTGCCATTTTCCCCTGTGGTTTTTGGTTGGAGATTCTTTTTAGGCATTTTTTTTAAAGACCTGTACTTCAAAAACAAAAGTCTTTTCACTAATTATTCTCCATGCTTTTCACTAAAAATATTTTACATAATTCGTCATGGTGTCCCTTCTTTTTGTAATTCTTTGAGTTGGATTTGTGCAAGGATCCTCAAAAATATTTAAATAGTCAAACTGGCAAATTGTCATTTTTAAAAAGCTCATTTATAATTGATAAGAAAAAGAAGTGATTAACAGCTAAGGTTATTAAAATCCCATGAGAGTGGCCCTATTCTGAAAGAGCACATAACCAAGGCCTGCAAGGTAAATTTAAATCACCTGATTTGTGCCTGGAATTGGATGGCCAGTAATCCAGCTTTGAAAGGCTAAAAAATGCTTTCGTCAGAAAATGTTCTCCATTTTCTTATTCATATGCCAGCCAATGGCTCACAATACTAGCAGCTTCCTTGCAATCTGAAGAGGGGAAGAGTCTCTGGATGTTGATGGCACACCACACACATCCCTGGTTGAACTCTCCAGCACTTTCATGAAGGTGTTGGGGATGAGCAGAATTGCTCCTTCTTAGGACAATATAAGCAATCTCATAAAATACTGCTGTTGTGGAGCGGCGGAATAACCTGAGGTGAACACGGAGCGAACTTCCGCTTTTACTTTATTGTAACAATAAAGGGTTGCCGCGGCTGCCGCACTAACAAGGCAGCCAGCTGGCGGACAACAGCTGATGCCATTTGACAGCTCCCTTTTATAGCCGGCTGTCAAACGGCATCAGCCAATAGGAACGGTCCGTGTTCCCGCTGGAAGCACGGACCGGAGTGAAGACTTCAACTCAGTCTTTTCCGAACTCCACACTCCTTTCCCCCAGAAGGGAGCATGCATAGTCCTTCAGATAACTCGGGCGCTTGCGCAGGCGGCCAGATCTTCTAGGTTGTGATGAAGCTGCTGCTGGAAGGAACTTTTCTGCTTGTTGGGCAACTTCTGGTGCCGACGAAGCTGGCGTCTCGGCTTCAGGCGTCTCTGGGCGAGGGACAGATGGCTGCTCAGGTAGGCTTGCGTTCCTGTCAGATTCACGGGAAGATTCTTCGGGCACCGGAGGTTTCTCTGTTGCAGGAACGCCTTGAGGGCCATCTGCAGACAAACTCCAACGCCTTCTACGTTGATCGATATGATGGCGCCAGATGCGCCCATCTTGCAGTTGGACCCTGTAAGACTTAGGACCGGTTACCGCCACAATCTGCCCAGGCATCCACAAAGGGTGTCCCGCATAATTCCGGGCATAGACCTGGTCATTTTCAGCGAACTCCCTTGCCTGGCTATTTGATCCTAGGAGCGTGACGGGCATAATATGGATGGAGTCTGTCTAAAGTAGTCCTCAGACGTCTACCCAGGAGAAATTCAGCCGGGGACCTATTAGTGGTGTCGTGTGCTGGGTTAGAAGATACTTAGCAAGCCTAGAGTGCCAATCTATGGGACCAAGCCTTTCCAGGACCTCCTTAGCAGATCTGATTGCTCTTTCAGCCAGGCCATTACTGGCAGGATGGAAAGGAGCTATAAGTGCGGGCCTGATTCCCAGGTTAGCTAGGAAGACCTCAAACTCACAGGAAGTAAACTGGGGGCCGTTATCAGACACGATAGTGTCAGGGAGGCCATGGGTAGAGAATATCCTTGATAGAGCCTTAGTGACGGCTTCTGAAGTTGTGGTGGTCATCAAGGTCAGCTCTACCCGTTTAGAAAAAGAATCAACCATCACCAGGAATGTACGCCCATGAAAGGGGCTAGCCAGATCAATATGCACCCGGGACCTGCCTGGAGTGGATGTGGGTGGAGCAGGTCTGGTAACTTGGCATGGCTGACAAGCATTCACCCAACTTGTAATCTGAGCATCCATGCCCGGCCACCATACATAACTGCGAGCTAGGGCTTTCATTCTGACAATGCCGGGATGCCCTTCATGCAGGACCTTTAAAACTGACGCTTGCAACTTGGAAGGGATAACTACCCTAGTTCCCCAAAGTAAACAGCCTTGCAAAGAAGACAGTTCTTGCTGGCGAGTTTTGAAAGGCACGAATTCGGGGGCATAAGGAATTGCAGGCCACCCCCTTCCCACCCAGTCAAGGACTTGGGCGATTACCTTGTCCCTGGCAGAGTGGGCAGCGATATCGAGGGTGGTGATGGGAAGTTTGAGATCATTGATCAGGAACACAGCATTAATTGGTGCAGGATCCTCCACAGGAACAGGCAGGGGGCAGCGACTAAGAGCATCAGCGTGGCAGAGACTCTTTCCAGCTCGATGAACCAGTGTATAGGAATAGGCAGCCAGAAATAAAGTCCACCTGGTCATCCTTGGAGACAAAATCTGAGGAGTTTGTCTATCACCTGACAGAAGGCCTAACAGAGGCTTGTGATCCGTAACCAACTCGAAATAGTGTCCATATAGAAACTCATGGAATTTTTTGACAGAAGCAACTGCAGCCAAAGCCTCCTTGTCAATTTGGCTGTAGTTGCGCTCAGCTGGGGAAAAAGTTCTGGAGAAAAAGGCAATGGGTGCCTCAGAACCATTAGGCGGTCTATGACTTAAAATGGCACCTATGCCAAAAGGAGAAGCATCTGCTACGAAAACTAAAGGTAAATGCTCATTAAATTGGATCAGAACAGCATCGGATGTGAGCAATGATTTGACTGCACAGAAAGCATGGGCTTCCTTAGGTCCCCAGTGCCAGGGGGATTGCTTATCCAAGAGTCTGTGCAGAGGCTCTGCAACGGAAGCTTTATGTGGCAAAAATGAAACGTAAAAGTTAAGAAGTCCTAAAAAAGCCTGGAGCTCAGTTTTGTTAGTTGGTGTGGGTGCCTCGTGAATAGCCCTTACTTTGGATTCGATTGGGTGAATACCAAAGGCGTCAATTCTGTATCCCAAAAATTCTACCTGTGGTGTGGCAATAGTGCACTTCTCTTTTTTTAGCTTAAGATCATGCTTCCTGAAACGATCGAGGACTCCTCTGACTCTTTGCAGTAATTGAGACTTGTCAGGGGCAGATATTAAAATGTCATCAAAATACGGAATTACACCTGGTAATCCTTGAAGAAGTCTTTCCATTAAAGATTGGAAAATTCCTGGGGCTACACTTACGCCAAATTGGAGGCGCCTACATTTAAAAGCGCCCCTGTGCGTTACAATAGTTTGTAGTTCAGCGGCTGTGTCATCAACAGGGAACTGTTGATAGGCCTGTGACATGTCTAATTTCGTGAAAATAGTTCCTGGCTCAAAAGAATGTAGTAGGTGCTGGATAACAGGGACTGGATAAGCGCTGATTTGTAAATATTTATGCAATGACGTCTTGTAATCTGCGCAGATTCTTACGCTGCCATCTTTCTTCAGGGGTGTCACTATTGGGGTTTCCCATTTTGCGAAGTCCACAGGCTCTAATACACCCTGTTTAATTAGTTTGTCAAGCTCCATGTCTAATTTGGGGCGGATTGCAAAAGGTACCCTTCAAGGCTTTAAACGGATTGGTACTGCCCGAGGGTCCAAGTTGAAAGATATTGGGGTTCCTGAATAACAGCCCAGCCCCTCGCTGAACATATCAGCATAGTCATTAAACAAGGTGTCCACTTCAGCATTTGTAATAGAGTGGATTCCTCTTATATGGAGGCCAAGGGCAGGGAACCAGTCTAACCCCAACAGGCTAGGGAGGGCACTATCCACTACCACTACAGGCAAGTGACCTTTAAAATTTTGAAATTGAACAAAAAACTTGCCTTTTCCGATGACTGGGATGGTTCTGCCTTGGTAGTCACGTAGGGTTAACTGGCAGCCATGAAGCTTCTTCTTAGCCATTCTGGGAAGTAGTTGTTTCAAGGTGCTCCACGAGATGATGGACAGTGCTGAGCCTGTGTCAACCTCCCTCCTGCAAGGTTTCCCTTCTATAGAAACAAAAACACTGATTTTGTTAGAGCCTTTGTTAGTCAGCTTGGCTTGATAGCAGGTAAATGTTTTTGGAAATGTTGGGTTGTCTGAGGCTTTTGGGCAAAAGTCTTTCCTGCTTGACAGATCCTGGCTAAATGACCCTTCCTGCGGCATTTTAGACAAATGGCATTCCTGAACTTGCAGGATGCCCTGAGGTGGTTTCCCCCACAGCTTAGACAAATGGGCTGAGGCTGTGGAGGTAGATTGGGGTTTGGCCTGTTCTCCCTTTGACTGTTTTTTTGCTGCCTGAGGCAATTTACATCATTAGCCTCTTCATAGCCTTCTTCTGTGCAGGCTTCATCGTAATGGATGGCTGAGCTGCTCTGGCTAATTGGATTTCCCTGAATTTCTGCTGCTGAAAGTGCTGATAGTTCAGCAGCTTGAGACTCTTCAATTGCTAATTTAAGGGTTAAATCCCCTTTAGCCAATAGACGCCTTTGTAGCCTTAAATCCCTGACTCCACAAGCTAGTTGGTCTAATAACATGTCTTCTAGATCAGTGGTCCCCAACCTTTTTTGTGCCAGGGACCAGTTTCACTCAGAAACACTTTTTCAAGGGGGGGTGGAAGAGTCCGAGTTTGGTGGTTTGCTTGCAGACGTTTCATTATCTGACTAGGTAACATCTGATGTTGTTACCTAGTCGGGTAATAAAACGTCTGCCAGCAAACCACCAAGTTCAGGGAACGCCAATGCCTCCTCATTGCAACCCTGAGCGACAGATAGTCCCTGCAGGACGGCTGAGAAGCCTCGCCTCTCGGCCCTGCCTTCATCAGCCCCATCCCTCAGGTGTCTCCCTCCCTCCCTCAGCCTCATCCCTCAGGTGTCTGCCTCGTTCCTCTCTCAGTCGCTCTCTCACTCCTCCACCAGCCCAGGAAGAAACTGCTTCAAAGAAGCCTGCAGGGTGGCTTTTCCTGTCGGCGCAGCTTCCCCAAAGCGCCCGTTCACCCCCACCCCACCGCCCACGGTTCAATCCAGTGCTCCGTTCTGCCTGCCTGCCTTCGTTTCTGGTGGTTTCGGAGCGCAGCTTCTCCGAAGCGCCCGTTCACCCCCGCCCCGCCGCCCGCGGTTCAATCTAGTGCTCCGTTCTGCCTGCCTGCCTTCGTTTCTGGTGGTTTCGGATCCTCCGAAGCGCCCGTTCACCCCCGCCCCGCCCCGCCGCCCGCGGTTCAATCCAGTGCTCCGTTCTGCCTGCCTGCCTGCCTGCCTTGGTTTCTGGTAGTTTCGGAGCAGCTTTGGCTGAGAAAAAGAGGCGAATAGTTATTATTCTCAGCCGAAGCTGCTCCGAAACTACCAGAAACGAAGGCAGGCAGGCAGGCAGAACGGAGCACTGGATTGAACCTGGATTGATTGGCGGCAGGGTGGGGGTGAAACGGGCGCTTCGGAGGAGCTGCGCCGACAGGGAAAGCCACCCTCCCCCCGGCTTCTTTGAAGCAGTTTCTTCCTGGGCTGGTGGAGGAGCGAGAGAGCGACTGAGAGAGGAACGAGGCGGGAGGAAACCGAAGCTGCTGAGCCAGAGAGCAGGACAGGCTTCGGTTGCTTCCTCCCTCCCCTTCTCTCATTTGTGTCCTTGATCCCCAATCCCAGCAGCATTCACCGAAGGCGAAGAAAGCCGCCATTTTTTAAAATTTTTTTTCCTTTGCGGCCCGGTACAGAGTGCTCCACGGACCGGTACCGGTCCGCGGCCCGGTGGTTGGGGACCCCTGTTCTAGATAGTCTCTAAACCGACAAGGCAAGGCAGCTGTTCGTAGGGCAGCCATGTACCCACTAATAGTCTCTCCCTGAATCCATCTCCTAAAAGCATGATGCCTGGCAATTCGGGATGGCTTAGGGGAATAGTGGTTGGAAAGAATTTCCTGCAATTCTTCCCATGGAACAGTCTTAATTGAACGTGGAGCCAATAATGCCGTAGCAGTGTCAAACACTGTGACTCCACAAAAACTTAAAAAGTAGGACTTTTTCCTATGGTCGGAAATGTCAGTGAGGTCTATGGCATCTAGGAAACAGTCAAATCGGTTTCTGTAGGATTCCCATTTTTGTGCTGTCGGTCTGAAAGGCGGGAATGCAGGGTTCGAAGTCATCTCAACTCAGCGGTGCCGGATCTTCCGAGGAAAGTTGAAATTCGCGCTCGCGAATAGTGACAGTAAGCTCTTAAAGTGACATTCAGCTCGAAAGTGACTTCAGCTCTTTTTTGTAGTGACTTCGCTTAGCGATTCTTTGCCCGGTTGCCTCTTACATGTATCCCGCCCTCGTCGCCAGTGTTGTGGAGCGGCGGAATAACCTGAGGCGAACACGGAGCGAACGTCAGCTTTTACTTTATTGTAACAATAAAGGGTTGCTGCCGCTGCCGCGCTAACAAGGCAGCCAACTGGCGGACAACAGCCGATGCCGTTTGACAACTCCCTTTTATAGCCGGCTGTCAAACAGCATCAGCCAATAGGAACAGTCCGGGTTCCCGCTGGAAACACGGACCGGAGTGAAGACTTCAGCTCAGTCTTTTCCGAATGCCACAACCGAAAGAATCCTTTCCCCTACAGACATATTTCCTTCTTTAAACCCAGGAAGGGTTAGTATCACTTATTGGTGGGTTTTCCAAGGTTCATCTGCCAATTGATTCTCTCAAGACACTGTCTTTTAATTGTGGATGGATGAATTGATCAAGAAGGAAGAGTATTTTGATGATGGTTGGCTGGTTGGATAGATGGATTTTTGTTAGATCAATTGATCCAGAAGGAAACTGGGTTTAGTTAAAGTAATAGCACTGAAAGACCTACAGAATAATTCAAGTTGATAAAACCTGCCTCTTTAGTCAAATGCTTTGTCTTCTGTTCATTTTCTCATCTGAACCATTAATTCTTAATAAGCATAGCCATTTACCTTAGTGCATAGCTTTGGCTTTGGAAATTTCTAAACAATAGGAAAGATCCTGCAATCTGTTCTGTACTTTTTTTCTTTTCCTTTCAGGAGGGTCTTCTGCC